GAAGATTTACAAAAAATATTTTAAATAATTATATCAAATTTAAGTTCTTTCCTCATTTGCATTGAAAAAAAATAATTACTATGACAATATTATTGAAGAGTAATAGTATTTACGTACACCTTTGCCTTCACCAAAGGCGGGTCTTTTGAATGGTGGAATTTGAAAATACGGATGATGCAGTCAACACCATGCTGTAAAGAAATTTCATTTTTAAATCAAAATATTGTTTGATGATTTTAAAACATTCCACAAAGACAACGAATACTTGAATCAAGGATATAATTGTGTTGACTTAAGAATGAAATATTCAAATCAAATACATGTGTATAACCTTAACGCTTTGTCATTTCTTAATGCTACATACATTTGTACAAATTATTGATCATGCACTGGTAGTATAAAAGTCATTTTTAAATGATCTTTTAAAGTCTATGATAAAGGAATAATTCTTACCATTCAAAGTTAATAAATCCCGAGGTTATTATTGTTGTTTTATGGTGCAAAGTCTTCTCATTCAAATCGGCACGGAGTAAGCGCGCACATCTTGTTTACCAGAATTCAAAATTTGGCCTAGATAAGCTGCAAACCACTATACTCTGTAACGCGCTGCCCAGCAGGAAAATTGCACAATAGGTTATCATGACACTGGAACTGACCAGTGTGCCAATCCCTATCTTATGCCTCAGAGTAAAATCCTGGGAGTGGATCACAGATTTGATTAACAACATTTTTAAAAAATACATTAAGAGTTTTATCAAATGCTTAAATGATTTTTCACATTTATTTATATTTTAAATTTTGTGTTTGCCTATCCTTTCAATTATTAATTTTTTGATTTGTTTTAATTAAAGGACTTTATATATGTCTGCTTAATCAATAAGCCAAAACTAGAAGTCATTATAAAATACCGGAAAAATCTTTCAATTAAAAAAGTACTACAATTCCTCATTTCAACACTATTCTTTCTATATATTCCTTTTTTTTCTTCATAAACTAAATTTTAGGAAAATCGCAATCAAACATTATTTGAATGTTTTAAGAACATTTTGAAAATAACATTAAAAAATGTTGCAGCAATAAAAAATGAAGTCTTTAAAAAAGGAAAACACATTAAATTGAATGTTCTAAAAATATTCTCACAACATATTCTTAAAGTTAATAAATGAATTTAAATTGTGCCGCAATTACATAAATGTTTCAGAAACATTTTGAAAATGTTTCCAAAAAATGTTACAAAAACTATAAATGTTTCAATTGTAGTGAAAATAATTATTTTAGTTAATGTTTTAAATAAACATTTTCACTGCCTAGGCCGAAAAATATCCGGAATTTAATGTTTATAACTAACAGCGATGTTAAGAATGTTTTAAAAATATTTTTAAAATGTTCCTTACAATTTTTTCAGAAACGTATAGGCAATGTTTCCGTTTTACAGAAAAAGAATGTTTCATTTCGTGTTTTAAGAACGTTTTTAAAACGTTTCATAAGATCTTTAATATTTGGAAGCTATACATACCCTTAGAATAATTTTAAGAAAAAATGTTCCTTAAATGAGTTAAGAATGTTTCAAAAACATTTTGACAACGTTCCTTCCAAATGTTTCAGAAACGTATTCATGCAATGTTTCAGATTTATGGAAAAGGAATGTTTCATTTCATGTTTTTAGAACGTTCTTAAAACGTAATATAAAAATCTTTGATATTTGAAAGCTAATCATACCTTTTGAAACATTTTAAAAACGTTTCAAAAATATTTTAGAAAAATGTTCCAAAAGGATTTAATCATAAGCTTCTTGAAAACATTTTAAAAATGTTTTTAAAATGTTATAAAGAGAAGAGGAAATGTTTTAAAAATGTTTTTAAAATATTTAGTCTGAAATGTTTCGAAAAAACCTTTTTACAACACCAATAAAATGTTTTGAAAATGTTTTGTGCTACCTGGGATTACATCTATCTATGTTCTAAATCCCACCTCGTTTGGTTGAAAATCAAAGGAGTTATAGCTGTTTAAAGTTTAAGCCAATCATATTACAGCGCACGTACACGCACGTGTATGCATGTGCATGGTGACCATACCTTCTTGTAGAAGTCCATTATATCTATCTATGTTCCAAATCCCATCCTGTTTGGTTGAAAACCAAGGAAGTTATAGCTATTTAAAGTTTAAGCCAATCAGATTGCAGCGCACGTGCATGCACGTGTTTTCATGATAATTGCTATATATCCTGTTGTAGGATATCCTAATGCATGGCTATATTCAAAATTTCAAAGGATTTTGTCAAAAAACAAGAAAGATATTTAGACTTTAGTTTCAGCCAATCAGAGCGAAGCGCACGTGCATGCGCGTGAGATCTTGCTATTTTGACCATGTCGTCATGTCTATGCTACTAATATATCCTCACCTTATGAGTTTCAAAGCATTTCATCAAAAAATAGAAAAGTTGCGGCTATATCTATTATATTGGTCATTTCACGTGTTGCACGTGCGCGCTCTTGCAAGCACGTGCGCGCAAAATGACCTTGATTCTGCAAATCTACATATCATGTCTACTGACCCTAAAAAGGTTTTACCTACATCGGACGAACAGTTTACTAGATCATTCCCGGACAAAAAAGTACCCAGGAAGAAGAAGAAGAAGAAAAACTAGTGCTAATTGTAACGGGGACCGTTACAGATGTTCCCCAAACGCTCCCCAACTCCCTTTTGGTGCCATATTCCCTGTAAGCTTCATTAAATAAGACAACCTCTATGCATCTGAGATTTTAACAACATTAACAAAGAAGTGTACAAAAATCATTTAAACTTTAGCATTGCACGCGTGCACATGTGAATACATTTGCGTCATGACCATATCATCTTGTCTACACAATCTATATTTTTAATATACTGAATATTAAAGTATTTAATCCAAAATTATTTTAAAAAATACGCTCATTCAAGTGTATGTTTGATTTTACTCATTTCACGTGCACGCACGTGCATACATGAGCATGGTGACCATACCTTCTTGTAGAAGTCCATTACATCTATCTATGTTCTAAATTCCACCCCGTTTGGGTGAAAACTAAGGGAGTTATAGCTGTTTAAAGTTTCAGCCAATCAGATTGCAGCACATGTACACGCACGTGTATGCATGTGCATGGTGACCATGCCTACTTGTAGAAGTCCATTATATCTATCTATGTTCCAAATCCCATCCTGTTTGGTTGAAAACCAAGGGAGTTATAGCTGTTTAAAGTTTCAGCCAATCAGATTGCAGCGCACGTGCATGCACGTGTTTTCATGATAATTGCTTTATTTCATGTTGTAGGATATCCTGATGCATGGTTACGTTCAAAATTTCAAAGGATTTCGTCAAAAAACAAGAAAGATATTGAGACTTTAGTTGCAGCCAATCAGAGCGAAGTGCACGTGCATGCGCGTGAGAATTTGCTATTTTCACCATGTCGTCATGTCTATACTACTAATATATCCTCACATTATGAGTTTCAAAGCATTTCATTTAAAAATAGAACAGTTGTGGCTATATCTATTATATTGGTCATTTCACGTGTTGCACGTGCACGCTCTTGCAAGCACGTGCGCGCAAAATGACCTTGATTCCGCAAATCTACATAACATGTCTACTAACCCTAAAAAGGTTTTACCTACATCGGACGAACAGTTTACAAGATCATTCCCGGACAAAAAAGTTCCAGGAAGAAGAAGAAGAAAAATAATAATAACTAGAGCAAAGCTCGTTGCAAAGCAACGAGTGGGTCTTCCTTCTTAGCTATAAGCAAATTAAAGGTTTCTTTTTAGATTCTCAACTTTGCTAACGTTCTCTTTTTTGCTTTGTCCCCAAAACCCTTACTTGAATTCTATAAATTAGTGTGAGCATGAGTTCTAATGATACCCTCTCTGACAGCATTCTTGAAAGTGTACACACATTTAAACTTCCATTATTTTGAATTTTGATATCGGATATATCATCTTTGTTGCAATCATGTGCTGTAGCGAAATGTGTCATATTACAGAAACATAGGTGTTTTGCTGCATCACCATCTTAAAAATGGCTTTAAAAACGTTTTATATACAATATTTAACTCGAAAAAAAAATTACACAAATTAAATTAAGTAATCCAAATGTGTTTATAATAATGATTAGCAATCTCCATTGTTTGACAATCAGTAAGTAGATCAATACTTTTACAAGAAACACACAGGATCGTGTTTTGTATGTTTTGGATTTGCAGCTTTCCACTGGCAAGTAGTGGTACCTCAACAGGAGTGTAAAATTCTCTGACATGTATACTGTAAACAAATAACATAGGGCTGTGTTGTTTTTTTTTTTTTAGCATCTTTGGCAGAATGCAGCAACTACTAAATCAAGTACAAAGCTAAATGTTTTGTACATGTACATAAACACATAAATAAGAATACTAAGAAATATTCTAAATCAAATCTACTTTAACTTATTCAAAAGTCAATTTCCGCCAAAAGACAATATCCGCCAAATATCGTACACACTAAATATAATGCATTTAAAGTATTAAAAAAACAAATCTATTTTAAAGTATTGCCCTACATAAGAACCATTTGAATCCCCTATACTGAAGGATGCTCTATGCCAAGTTTGTCTTTAGCTCTAGAAAATGAAATTGTGAAATTCTAGACACTGGTGATAATGCAACAGGCACAGCTTTGCAGATTTAGTGCTTCATTGACTTTGAAATGTGACAGGAATCTGGACATCTCGTCAATCTTGTATTTGAAAACTTCATGTACATATCCACTGTACGGAATTCCTTGGTATCCTGCACATGGTTATGCCTTAGTTGCATGTGCCAAAATAGCAAATTTCTTACATTATACAGTAAAAATACACATCCATGTATTACAAGATCTTATATTGCTGCTGAGGACAGAAGATCTTTACCTTAATTAACCATTAGAATAAGTAAGTTGAAACTTCGAAATAGAAGACCTTAATAAAGAGGTCAACATGCAAAACAAACAAAATATTATATTTAGAAATAACATTTATTCCAAATCCAATGTAATTACATGTATTTCTGTTACAAAATTTATTTCACTTGAAAAACTGAGAGCAATTGATATGTTCATATTTGTGATATATGATAAACGGTGAATTTAAAAGTTGTCTTCATGAACTAAAACTTGGCTTAACTTCACTATGCTGTTTATTTCTTGTCACATCAAAACAGATGCTCTTTTGGCAAATCATAGTCATGCTTTGTATCAAATTTCCGAATTCAGATGTGTCACACCTATCCAAAAAAAAAAAAAAATGAAATTTTTTAATTTATAATTCCTTGACTAATAAAATGTCAATTCAAGAGATAACTATAGGCTATCAAATTGAGTTCTAAGATATTGTCACATTTTTTGTGTATAATTTGTATAACACGAGTTCACACAACACGAAGTCTCCCTAACATGAGTTCACACTACACACTCTTTGCTAACATGAGTTCACACATCATACTGTCAGGTTAGCAAGAGTTTACACAACACAATGATTAGCTAACAAAAGTTCACACAATACACTGTCTCCCTTACACGAGATTACACAACACACAGTCTCACTTACACGAGTTTACACAACAAGCTGTAAAGCTAACACGAATTCACACAACAGGCTGTCTCGCTGACATGAGTTCACACATCACACTGTCAGGCTAACATGATTTCACACAACACACTGTCCAGCTCTCAAAAGTTCACACAACACACTGTCTCGCTTACACGAGTTACACTACACGCAGTCTCACTAACTCGAGGTTACATAACAGGCTGTCTCGCTAACACAAGTTTACACAACAAGCTGTCAAGCTAACCTGAGTTCACACAAAATGCAGTCTCGCTAACACAATTTCACAAATCACACTGTAATGCTTACACAAGTTTACACAAAACATGCTGTATTGCTAACATGAGTTCGCACAACACACTGTCTTGCTAACATGTGTTCAAACAACACGCTCTTTCCCTAACATGAGTTCACACTTCACACTGTCAGGCTAACATGAGTTCACACAACACACTGTCTTGCTTACAAAAGTTTACACAACATGCAGTTTCGCTAACATGAGTTCACACAACACGCTGTCTCGCTAACATGAGTTCACACAACCTGCATTCTCGCTAACACTAGTTTACAAATCACACTTTCATGCTGACATGAGTTAACACAAAACACCCTGTCTTGTTAGCACGAGTTTACACAACATGCTGTCAAGCTAACACAAGTTCACACAACACGCTGTCTCGCTGACAAGAGTGTACACAACACGTTGTTAAGCTAACATGAATTCACACAACATGCTGTCTCCCTAACACGAGTTCACGCGACGTGCAGTCTCGCTAACACTTATTCAAAAATACCACTGACAGTCGCTAACACGAGTTTACACAAAACATGCTGTCTTGTTAACACAAATTTATACAACACGCTGTCAAGCTAACACTAATTCACACAACATGCTGTCTCGCTAACCTGAGTTTACACAACATGCAGTCTTGCTAACACTAGTTCACAAATCACACTGTCATGCAAACACGTGTTCACACAAAACATGCTGTCTTGCTATCAAGAGTTCACACAACATGCTATTTCGCTAACATGAGTTCACACAACACACAGTCTAGATAACAAAAAGTTCACACGACACACTGTCTAGCTTACACGAGTTTACACAACATGCAATCTCACCAACATGAGTTAACACAACACACTGTATCGCTAACAAATTCACACAACATGATGTCTAGCTAACACAAGTTTACACAACATGCAGTCTCGCTAACCCTAGTTCACAAATCACACTGTCTTGCTAATACGAGTTTACACAACACACATTCTGGCTAACAGGAGTTCACACAACACACTGTCATGCTAACACGAGTTTAAACAAGACACGCTGTCTTGTTAACATGAGTTTACACAACACACAGTCTCGCTAACAGGAATTTACACAACATGCTGTCTCTCTAACACGAGTTCACACAACATGCTGTCTTGCTAACATGAGTTCACACAACATGTAGTCTTGCTAACACTAGTTCACAAATCACACTGTCATGCTAACACGAGTTTACACAAGACACCCTGTCTAGCTAACAGGACTTCACACAACACATTTTCAAGCTAACACCAGTACACACAACACGCTGTCTCGCTAACACGAATTCACACAACATGCTGTCTCGCTAACACCAGTATACACAACATGCTGTCTCGCTAACACCAGTATACACAACATGCTGTCTCGCTAACACTAGTTCACACAAGACTCCCTATCTTGATAACATGAGTTTACACAACACGCAGTCTCGCTAACAGGACTTTACACAACACGCTGTCTCGCTTACACAGTTAACATAACACCCTGTTTCACTAACACCATATCACACAACATGCTGTCTCACTAACACCAGTTCACACAACATGCAGTCTCGCTTACACTAGTTCACAAATCACACTGTCATGCTAACACGAGTTTACACAAGACACGCTGTCTCGCTAACAGGAGTTCACACAACACTCTGTCATGCTAACATGAATTCAGACAACACATTTTCAAGCTAACACCAGTTCACACAGCACGCTGTCTTGCAAACACGAGTTTACACAACATGAATTCATGTTCACACAAAACACTGTCAGGCTAACACGAGTTCACACAAAAACATTGTCAGCTTATACACTGTTTTACTAACACAAGTTCACACAACACACCGTCACATTGCTAAGTTTAAAGTTAGATTTGAATTTGAAAACATTTACCATTATATGGTAACATCTCTATATTAGTTAAAAATTCTCAAATAAGATCTAACACAACATACAATCAATCAAGTAGCATTAAGCCGCTGATCCTTACATGGCAGGTTCAAATCCCACTCCTGGATGTGGAGACAGCTCAAACAGGTTCTTCAGATCTGATGAGACTGTATAAATTGAGGTTTCGTTTCACAGTTGGCACAAAAAAATCCCTCACATCTCAAAAACCATAAGTGCTGAGTGCATGTCACTGCTGTGTACATTTGCAGGCCTCTGCCAGCAAGTGATCATAGTGATGGCATCATAACATGACTGAAAAATATTTAAAAGGACAATAAACAAACAAATAAACCAATACTGCAGTCTTACCAAGGATATGGCCCTTCATGTAAGTGTCAAGAATTAAACAAAGTTAGAGCTAGGCTAAGTGACATCTCCATGAGTCATAAATTCTAGAATGGGATGTAAACATGGTAAATAACATACTTTATAATTAAATTATAATCAATAAGTTTATTTCATAGTGACTTCATATTAATAATTTAGAATTAAGAAATAGTCAATAACAAACACACAGTGTGAAACCTTGTCTGCATGTTTTACAGCACGACTCACAAAATTTACACAGCTATTATAATGTAGTGCTCACGCACTACGTGACATCATATTATAAATAATTTAGGTATTTTCCAACTTTTCCAAGTGTGATGATCCATAGAGCAGGAATGATTTTTAAGGGTTCTGCAAACCACAAGACATGGCCACTTAAATATTATAATTTTATCTGTCAGATGGGTAAATATTAGGGCTGGGTATTGAAAGAAATTTTTCGATACGATACAAATTGCAATACAGTGGTGCGATATGCAATACATATTACCGATACAGACAAATGAGAATTAATTATTATTTGCAATTTTTTTTAAGAGGTGATAGTGTTTTTTGATTAAAGCATAAATTTACAATAATAAAACATTTTAAATCCTTGTTTTTTTATTCTCTTTCAGTTTGAATGGACAAGTGTATGAAAGATTAATGTTATTTGCTCATATTTTTCTTCAGAAAAATCAAGTCATTGATCCACCTAGGTTTCAGACAAGCCCTTGTGCATGTAAATACAGTGGCACTGGTGCTAAATACCCGATGTTCTGAAGCAACAGACGACATCACACATTGACCTGTTTGACTTTGTTGATACTTCACTTGACGTCATATTCGTGGAAGTAATGGCAGATAGAATATTTCACCAAAGTTAAAATAAACTACGACTTCAAAATTCTGATTGAGATCTTATAATCGCAATATCGGTTTACATTCCATGACTTTTTTTTCGACGCACCATCTTACCTACCGGAATTGCTTCCAAGTTTCACAGTAGCAAACAGGTCAATGTTGCGATGCCGTCTGAGATGGGTAATAATATATAGGCTCATTGTTCCGCCAGAACTTGCGACCTCTTGTTGACAAATATAATTATATTTTGCCTTTTTGCTGCTGACTTTTACGTAGCGACCCTACACTTTTGACATGTTTACATGCGTTTAACCGATTTTAGATAAGTCGTTCGTAATGTTATTCACTTTCACGTTTTTCTTTCTCTTAATTAAACGTCGAAATAATCGAGCAATACACAAGCATCTCTGTATCGGTTATCGTATTGCTAAAAAATATTGATATATACTGATTACCGATATATTGATCCAGCCCTAGTAAATATATATTCAATATATAGCTTTTGTAGTGTCTAATCCAATCGCATTATATGAAATATGTCTTGTATTTAAGGTATGTTTTCAAGTTTCGTGTGAATTATTGGTGTGAGAATCACACAGAATTGCATGTAGGCATATTTTTCATGAAGTGCGGTTTTCACAAATCAATTTCACAGTTGGCTTTGTAGACAAACACGGCAAATGTAAATATATCCTGTTGATGTCAATTGTTGCGATGTAAACAAAACTTCCCACTGACTGAATATGAATGACGTCACAATAGAGTGGTGTGCATATTCAAGATTAAGACATTTTTGTGATCAAGCAGCCATGGGTAGGAAAGAGCTTTATTTAGACTCCGGACCATGGTTTGAGACGATGCCAGATCCCCTCCCCAAAACAATTTAAGTAACAATATGACAGTCAGACACTAACCGCAAGGAATACCAGGTTCACTATTTTAAGAAAATACAAACCCTATTTTATCCTTTTCACCGCTGCTAAAACTGCATCTTGCTTTTCACAACTTGATCTAAATGAAGTAGGTATCTAACTCATTTTTAATTCGAAATTAGATGTAATTTTAAGATTATTCAAAAGCTTTATAAGGTATTGCAGTAAAGATTTGATAATGTCTTAAGTGGGTTTACAGTCCAAGTCCTGACCAGAAATTAAAAAATAAATCAATTTATTAATGTAAACATAATTAATGACCTTGTACATGTTGTAACTTGTAGGCTTTTATGAAAATATCAATTCCTGTATATTTAACATGTGTAAATTTATGTTGATATGGAAAAAAAGCTTACCTTCTTTCAAAATGCCTGTGTTTTATATCGTTTATACTCCACAGCAAAGCCGAAGACACAAATACAACTGTTAACTGCGTTCTTACCAAGTTACTCCATAAATGATAAACGAAAGATGCAAAGGCGCCGTCAGAATTTCCTCGCGATCGGCACACAAAATCTTCGGACAGTTTAAACATTGGAATTAATACATCCATAAACGAATGCTCCATATGTAAGTAATCAGAGAGTTTATCTGCACACTATTCTAGCCGTGGATTGAATAAAGCGTGTATACAAACGCAATCAATGTTAAAATAAAGATTACATTCTATGTTTCACGTTTGTGCCATGCTGGTTCTTTTTCCCACAGTCCGACGCCGACTCGATGGGGCACACTAAAAACGGGATATACTAAAGATCTGATATTTACCTGACGTTCTAATTTTTAATTAAATGGTAATATTGAGTATTTTAAATTACTTATGTACTAAATTATAACTTTGATGCATTATGCTATACAAAATTTCAATTGTTTGGAATATTTACAGACAATTTAGAATCAGGCCAAATCAGTTTTTAGTACATCGCGTCTTTAGTGCCATCCTATATCCCACAATGCCGCGCGTTGTTTACAAACAAGAGACCCCGAAAAAAATCCTCTAAACTAATTATTGTACGTTGTGTACATCACAACATTTTAAAAATTTTTGAATAAAAAGAAAACAGAGAAACATGGAATCAAAACTATATTTTTCAGGTGCATCAATTAAAACTGTGCACATGCAGTAAAGGCTTGGCTGGCTATAGTAGACAACTTGTTCCTGAAAGGTTTCTCACATACATGTACTTGTTTTATATAAAAAACAATTAAATATAGCTGGTAGTTTATTTCTTTTTATATCAAATGACAAGATTTTATAAGTTCAAAATTATTTCAGTCAAACTTTTTCATAATATACCAATATTTTTAGCTATCAGAAAAAAGCGTGTATGATCTATTAACCCCTAGGCCTAATTATAGGGGCCAGCCCCTTTTCGTTAATCAAATATGAAAGCTCTCGTAATTACCCACAACTTTTGTTCTATATTTCTTACCAAATTATTCTCGGTTTAAAAGTTATTACACAAAAAGTAGCAAAAATTCAAAGAAAAAAAATTACTAAACTTTGCCGTTTTATAGCTTCCAAACTTTAAGAAATCAGCTATATAATTTTATCGTTGTGCACATCTACAATGTATTGGCTACAAGTTCTCCAACTTTCGTGTAAATATCTTATGTCGTTTTTGAGATTTTTAGTGGAAACGAGACATCAAAAATTTTCAATTAAAGGGCAATAACTCACAAATAAAGGCATGCATCAAAAAACTGAAAACAGGTTTAAATAGGTTTTACTACAAGCTATCTATCCTGAAAGTTTCATAACGATCCGTCCAAAGGTCTTTGAGAAATCGCCGGTCAAATATCGAGCGGGAAAAAAAAAAAGAATAATAAGAAACAATAGAATAACAGTAGGGTCTTCCGAAGGAAGCGGAAGACCCTAATAATAAGAAACAGAGTAAAAACAATATGTTCCCCAACTTCGTTTGGGGAACATAATAATAATAATAAGAAACAGAGTAAAAACAATATGTTCCCCAACTTCGTTTGGGGAACATAATAATAATAACTAGTGCTAATTGTAACGGGAACCGTTACAGATGTTCCCCAAACGCTCCCCAACTCCCTTCTCGTGCCATATTCCCTGTAAGTTTCATTAAAGAAGGCAAAATCTATGCATTTAAGACGTAAACAACGTTTTCCCAAAAGTATACCAAGTATTTCAAATTTAAGCAATGCAGGCGTGCGCATGTGATTGCATGAGCATAATGACGATATCATCTTGTCTACACTATTTTACTCATTTGCAGGTGCACGCACGTGCATGATGACCATACCTTCTTGTAGGAGTCCATTATGTCCTTGTTCTTAATCCCATCTTGTTTGGTTGAAAAACAAGGGAGTTATAGCCATTTAAAGTTTAAGCCAATCAGATTGCAGCGCACGTGCATGCGCGTATTTTCATGACAATTATTATATATTATATTGTAGGCTATCTTAAAGTATGCTTATGTTTTAAATTTCAAAGCATTTTGTAAAAAAACAGAAAAGATATTGAGATTTTTGTTTCAGCCAATCAGAGCAAAGCGCACGTGCACGCATGTGCATGCATGTGAATGGTGACCATACCATCCTGTAGGAGTCCTTTATGTCTATCTATGTTGTAAATCCCATGCTGTTTGGTTGAAAACCAAGGGAGTTATACTCATTTAAAGTTTCAGCCAATCAGATTGCAGCGCACGCGCATGCGCGTGATTTCATGAAAAATTTTATATATCATATTGTAGTACATCCTAATGCATGTCTATGTTATAAATTTCAAAGCATTTCATCATTAAACAAAAAAGATATTGAGATTTCTGTTTCAGCCAATCAGAGCAAAGCGCACGTGCATGCGCGTGAGTTCATGCAAATTTGACCATGTCATCTTATCTACACAACTTATATATCTTTATATAATGAGTTTCAAAACATTTTATCAAAAAATATAAAAGTTACAACCATATTAAATATATCAGTCATTTTACTTATTGCACGCGCCCGCACGTGCATGCGAATGCGCGCAAAATGACCTTCGTTCGGCACATCTACACAACATGCCTACTAACCCTAAAAAGGTTTTAACTTAGTTTGGTGAACAGTTTCTGAGAACACTTCCGGACAAAAAAGTACCGGAGAAGAAATAAGAAGAAAAAAGAATAATAATAATAATAATAACTAGTGCTAATTGTAACGGGAACCGTTACAGATGTTCCCCAAACGCTCCCCAACTCCCTTTTAGTTCCATATTCCCTGTAATATACTATTTGTGAAAGCATTCAGTCCAAAATTATTAAAAATCACTCATTCAAGTGTATTTCTAATTTCATTCGTTCCAAATGCACGCACGTGCGTGCACGTGCATGATGACCATACCTTCTTGTAGGAGTCCCTTATATTTATTTATGTTCTGAATCCCATCCTGTTTGGTTGAAAAACAAGGGAGTTATAGCCATTTCAAGTGTCAGCCAATCAGATTGCAGCACACGTGCATGCGCGTGATTTCATGATCATTTTTCTATATGGCATTGTAGGATATCCTAATGAATGATTATGTTTTAAATTTCAAAGCATTTCGTCAAAAAACAAAGGAGATATAGTCATTTAAAGTTTCAGCCAATCAGATCGCAGCACACGTGCATGCGCGTAATTTCTTGAAATTTTTTGTATATCATATTGCAGGGCATCCTAATGTATGACTATGTTTTAAATTTCAAAGCATTTCGTCAAAAAACAAAGGAGATATAGTCATTTAAAGTTTCAGCCAATCAGATCGCAGCACACGTGCATGCGCGTAATTTCTTGAAATTTTTTGTATATCATATTGCAGGGCATCCTAATGTATGACTATGTTTTAAATTTCAAAGCATTTCGACAAAAAACAAAGGCGATATAGTCAATTAAAGTGTCAGCCAATCAGATTGCAGCACACGTGCATGCGCGTGATTTCATGAAATTTTTTCTATATCATATTGTAGGATATCCTAATTCATGACTATATTTTGAATTTCAAAGCATTTCATCAAAAAACAGAGAAGATACTGAGATTTTTGTTTTAGCCAATCAGAGCGAAGCGCACGTGCATGCGCGTGAGTTCGTGCTAATTTGACAGTGTCACATTATCAATAGTATTAATATATCTTTATATAATGAGTTTCAAATCATTTCATCAAAAAATGTAAAAGTAATAGCTATTTTAAGTATATCAGTCAATTCACTCATTTCACGCGCACGCACGTGCGTGCGTATGCGCGCAAAATGACCTTCGTTCCGCACACCTACACTACACACCTATTAACCCTAAAAAGGTTTTAGCTCAGTTGGGTGAACAGTTTCTGAGAACACTCGCGGACAAAAAAAGTACAGGAGAAGAAATAAGAAAAAAAAAACTAGTGCTAATTGTAACGGGAACCGTTACAGATGTTCCCCAAACGCTCCCCAACTCCCTTCTCGTGCCATATTCCCTGTAAGTTTCAATAAAGAAGGCAAAATCTATGCATTTAAGACGTAAACAACGTTTTTCCAAAAGTATACCAAGTATTTCAAATTTAAGCAATGCAGGCATGCGCATGGGATTGCATGAGGGTAATGACGATATCATTTTGTCTACACTATTTTACTCATTTGCACGTGCACGCACGTGCATGATGACCATACCTTTTTGTAGGAGTCCATTATGTCTGTCTATGTTCTTAATCCCATCCTGTTTGGTTGAAAAACAAGGGAGTTATAGCAATTTAAAGTTTAAGCCAATCAGATTTCAGCGCACGTGCATGCGCGTATTTAATGACAATTATTATATATCATATTGTAGGACATCTTAAAGTATGCTTATGTTTTAAATTTCAAAGCATTTTGTAAAAAAACAGAAAAGATATTGAGATTTTTGTGTCAGCCAATCAGAGCAAAGCGCACGTGCACGCACATGCATGCATGTGAATGCTGACCATATCATCCTGTAGGAGTTCCTTATGTCTATCTATGTTGTAAATCCCATGCTGTTTGGTTGAAAACCAAGGGAGTTATACTCATTTAAAGTTTCAGCCAATCAGATTGCAGTGCACGCGCATGCGCGTGATTTCATGAAAAATTTTATATATCATATTGTAGTACATCCTAATGCATGTCTATGTTAGAAATTTCAAAGCATTTCATCATAAAACAAAAAAGATATTGAGATTTCTGTTTCAGCCAATCAGAGCAAAGCGCACGTGCATGCGCGTGAGTTCATGCAAATTTGACCATGTCATCTTATCTACGCATCTTATATATCTTTATATAATGAGTTTCAAAACATTTTATCAAAAAATATAAAAGTTACAACCATATTAAATATATCAGTCATTTTACTCATAGCACGCGCCCGCACGTGCATGCGAATGCGCGCAAAATGACCTTCGTTCGGCACATCTACACAACATGCCTACTAACCCTAAAAAGGTTTTAACTTAGTTTGGTGAACAGTTTCTGAGAACACTTCCGGACAAAAAAGTACCGGAGAAGAAATAAGAAGAAAAAAGAATAATAATAATAATAACTAGGGCTAATTGTAACGGGAACCGTTACAGATGTTCCCCAAACGCTCCCCAACTTCCTTTCGGTGCCTTATTCCCTGTAAGCTTCATTAAATAAGACAAACGCGATACATTTAAGACTTTGACAAAGTTTTACCCGAAGTATTCAATTTCAGCATTGCACGCATGCGCATTTAAATGCATGTGCGTAATGACCATATCATCTTGTCTACACTATTGATATATTTTAATATACTAAATATTACAGCATTTTATCCAAAAATATGTTTAATCCAGTGTATTTAGAATTTTAAACATTTCACGTGCACGCACGTGCATGCCTTTGCATGATGAACATTCCCGGTTGTAGGAGTCTATAATATCTGTCTATGCTCTGAATCCCATCCTGTTTGGTTGAAAACCAAGGGAGTTATAGCCATTTAAAGTTTCAGCCAATCAGATTGCAGCGCACGTGCATGCGCGTGATTTGATGAAAG